GTCGTGAAACCACCTCACGCACGCTCATAGCTGAACCAGGGCCAGCCTGGCAAGCGAATGGCCATAGGCGCGGCGCACCTGCCACCGCCAAGCGCTTGCTGCGCTGGAGCAGGAACCTGCGGAGCCATGAGCACGTCGATGTCACAGCGTGCGCTGATGGCTGCGGCCCACAAGGGTCTGCACCGCCGCCAGCCGTGGCGACCCGCGTCGCGCGCCTTCGACCAAGGCCGCGCCCACCGCTTGCGCGCCAAAGCATGCAGGCGGACAGCGGGGCAGCCTAGGGCGAAGGCGGAACCGGAACGGCGACAGGCTCCGGCGCCGGCTCGCCACTCCCGACGGTAAACACTGGAGCGCGTGGATTGAACCGCCAGCCTCAACAGACGATGCTGAGGAGCTCGGGGCTAAGGCCGTCGAGATCCCGAGCGAGGCGTCTTGGGAGGTCGGGCGGAGTGGGGGGGGCGAGCTCAGGTGCGAACCCGCTCGGGAAAAAGACAATCACGGCGAGCCGACGCCGCTGCCAGTGCCACCGCCCGAGGGGGCACGGACAGCGCAGAGCCCGCAAGGGCGGGCCCGTCCGCAGGGTCTCTGCCGGGCTGCGGCGGGCTCTCGCGCCGTAACTCGCGCCTCCATGGGTCATTCGGGTCCAAGAAGGGGGCCCTCGGAACGCCCTCGACGAAGCGCGGAGCATCCCGAGGCGAGAAGGTCTCCAAGGACCGGCGAGCAGGCCCGAACCCCCTCAAGGGCGACCACAACAAGAACCGCAAGGACCTCCCAGCCCGAGGGGTCGCACCGAACTGGCGCATGGGTGGTATTCTCAGCCCTCCCGGCGGCCAGCGGGACCCCGGGGCCCCGTGGCGCACGCAGGGCGCCTCCTGCCGAAAGACGGGGGGGGGCTCGCGCCACACCAGGGGCAGCAGGCGGGCGGGCACCGGCGCCGTCGGGGCCGGCATGGACGAGACCTGCCCGGGTGGCACGAGGAGGGCGAGCCCGAGCGCGGCGAGCCCGAGCCGATCCCGTCGGCTTCGAGCCCGCATGCCTGAGCGCGGCGCGCAGGCCACCCCGCGGCGCCACAGCCTTCGCCCGCTGCCCCGCCACCACGGTCGTCTGCGTCTGACGACGACGACGACGACGACGACGACGACGACGACGACGACGACGACGAGCACGACGCCCGGCGACGCCTCCGAGGGCCGTGTCCACAGCAGCCGCGCGAGCTCCGTTCTGCTGCGGCGGTTTTTCGCGGAGGGGGCGCGCCCAGCGCTGCTTCGGGCCGACTTCGCGCGAGGGGCGGGGGCCCGCGTGCGCCCGTGGCAAGAAGGGCCGTGGGGCTCCCCCTGAGCGACGGCAGTGGCCCTCGAAGAAGCCAGCGCAACCGTCGGGGCCTCGAAAGCCACGGCAGGCACCCTGGCCTGGGCAGGGCGGATCGCAGCAGCCGCCCGGCTGGCCGCAAACGGGCTGCCCTCGTCTTGTCCAGTGTCTCGCCCGCGAGAGCGCCGCAGTCGTCCACGGACCGGACGCAGCGCGTCGGCCTGCTTTGGCGCTGCTTGCCAGTGGAGCGCTGCACGAAACCGGCAGTGAGCGGCATGGTTCCAGCGTCCTGGGGGGGCAGGCGCGGGTTCAGGGCAGACAGCTCCAGCCGCAGGTGCCGGCGCAGGATTGCTTCTGAAAGAGACGGCATCATCCTCGAGCTCTGACTATCACCACAGAAGTGCTTCGCCGCAGCGTGAGACAGAGGAGAGCATGGTGGCTGTTGACTCTTTCGTTGCACGGGCCCATGCGCAGCATTCGCAACCATGCCGTGAAGCGCGAACCCAGGGCCACGAACGAGGACCCGAAGGGGGGACCCAAAAGACAGAGACGTGGGGAAACTGAGAGGCAGAGATGCTGACAGGCAGTCAAGAGACAGAGAGGCAGACGAGGCAAAGCAGGTGAGGGGCCATACCACTTGAGGGGCATGAGAAACTGAGAACTGAGAGACCGAGGATCGACGATTTAAGCTGTGAGCAGAATGACAGATCACAGCATGAGTGGAGTTCAGGCAGGCGCTGGGGCGACGTAGGACGCCACCGCCGATCGATGGATCTCAGCTACTACTGATTGCCCGTGTGCCCTCACCCCTCCCTCCTCTTGCTCGCGGTCCTGAGTATCTGGCGACCCGCGCTCCAGCCAGACCTCGCTGCGGGCGCGATGCGAGCGGCAGCCGACGGGCGAGTGGCCGACTGCCACCCGCCTCCCGCGCCGCGGCCGCACGCGGCCCCAATCTCCGACGGCAAAAAGACTTTTTCACCACGTGGGCCCCCAGGGCTCCGGGCACCATCCCCGAGACCAGGCGCCCCGCTGTGGAAAAGTGTGTGTGGCGGCCCTCGGGCCCCCGAAGTGGGACCCCGAAGAAGACCCAGCTACCTCGACTTGCACGTGACGACGGAAGCCTGGGCACACCGTGACTGTGCAGATCCTGGGACGTTCGGCAGGACAACAATCACGTCAGGACAGTGACGGCGACGACGACGACGACGACGACGACGACGACGAAGACGAAGGCGACGAAGACGAAGACGAAGACGACGACGAAGACGACGACGACGACGACGACGACGGCGACGACGATGGCGACGGCGACGGCGACGGCGACGGCGGCGGCGGCAGCAACAGCGATGGCGAAGGCGACGGCAACGGCGGCGGCGACGACAACAGAAGCGCGACTCTCTCGAACTCCGTCCGAGATTGAGTCCGACCCCGTCGTGCACGAAAACGCCCGCAGGCAGAAAAGGGCGGATCACGGTGGACCGACCTCAGCATGACCCGCACTGATTCTGATCGAACCCACCATTCCTGCACCTCCACATGCTCCTCATATTCCTTATCAGCACCTTCTTTCTCAAACTCTTTGTCCAACTCCTACCTTTATTCCTCATTAATATATACCCCCACTCTGTCACCTAGCCAGCCGATAGGGACCAAATCCGGGACCTTCCATCCGACTTGTTAAAAGCAATTCACAATCTACGGTTTTCGTTCCAACATGAGCATTACGTCGACCATGCTGCAAAATCATGGGGGAATTGGACTGGCGCACATCCCGCGCGAAAGGCCGAAATGTAGTTTTCGCCTCCGCACCGCGCTTACTTCCCTAGAGAAATGAGCTCCCGCTGGGGCGCGGCACCAATTTTCCGAACGTAATCATTCTCGTCTCGGCGCCGCGCAGATTCCGCCTGAAAGGGGCGTCCCCGCCTAGGCGCGCCATGTTTGTCACTCGCCAATGTTTAGAGGCCCGCGCGAGCGAGCGCCCTCGCTCAAGTTCCATGCGCATTCGGCTCGCAAGTGGCGCCCCTGTGCGGCCGCTTAGTCATCTCTTCGCCTTGCGAGTGAACGTGGCAATGCTGTGCCATCGCAGCGCATGTTTCAGACTCGCCGCATCCATCCGAAGGTTTGCCGCTCCCGCCCCTGCGCGGCCGCGTAGTTCTCTCTTCGCCTTGCGAGTGAACGTGGCAATCCTGTGCCAGCGCGGCGCATGCTTCGTTTCCGCCTTGCCCACCCGAAGGTTTGTCGCTCCCGCCCCTGCGCGGCCGCGTAGTTCTCTCTTCGCCTTGCGAGTGAACGTGGCAATGGTTTGCCAGCGCAGAGCATGCTTCGTCTTCGCCACGCCCATCCGAAGGTTTGCCGCTCCCACTCCCGCGCGGCCGCGTAGTCTTCTCTTCGCCTTGCGAGTGAACGTGGCAATGCTGTGCCAGCGCGGAGCATGCTTCGTCTTCGCCGCGCCCATCCGAAGGTTTGCCGCTCCCGCTCCCGCGCGGCCGCGTAGTCTTCTCTTCGCCTTGCGAGTGAACGTGGCAATGCTGTGCCAGCGCGGAGCATGCTTCGTCTTCGCCGCGCCCACCCGAAGGTTTGCCGCTCCCGCCCCTGCGCGGCCGCGTAGTCTTCTCTTCGCCTTGCGAGTGAACGTGGCAATGCTGTGCCAGCGCGGAGCATGCCTCGTCTTCGCCACGCCCATTCTAAAGTTGGCCGCTGCCGCCCCTGCGCGGCCGCGTGATCTTCTCCTCGCCTTGCGAAGGAACGTGGCACTGCTGTGCCAGCGCGGCGCATGCTTCGTTTTCGCCGCGCCCATCCGAAGGTTTGCCCCTCCCGCCCCTGCGCGGCCGCGTAGTTCTCTCTTCGCCTCGTGAGTGAACGTGGCACTGCTGTGCCAGCGCGGCGCATGCTTCGTCTTCGCCGCGCCCATCCGAAGGATTGCCGCTCCAGCGCTGCGCGGCCGTGTACATAGTTTTGTCTTCGCCAAGCCGTTTGAAGCGGGACCGCGCGCCAGCCCTTCCCCCGTGTGCGAGAGGGAAGCGCGCTCCAATCCCGATAGAAAGATGTGTCCCACTTGATTGTTATGTTGCGGGAGCGTTCGTGGGAGTACGTAGGCGGGACCCTGTGACACGCGCGACCTGGCGAACTTGACTCCTCCTCCTCCTCCTCCTCCTCCTCCTCCTCCTCCTCCTCCTCCTCCTCCTCCTCCTCCTCCTCCTCCTCCTCCTCCTCCCCCTCCTTCTCTACCACCCTCCCTGCCAGCCCTGCCCACTTCCCTCCTTCTACTCTCCACAATATGATACGTGTGTGTTCTTCCCTCCTCCATCTGTATTCCCCCTCCTCCTCCTCATCCTCCTCTCCTCCCAACTCCTCCTCCTCCTCCTCCTCCTCCTCCTCCTCCTCCTCCTCCTCCTCATCATCATCATCATCATCAATCATCATCATCATCATCATCATCATCATCATCATCATCATCGGCATCGCAGCAGCGCAGCAACAGCATCAGCATCAGCATCAGCATCATCATCATCAGCATCATCATCATCATCATCAGCATCAGCATCATCATCCTCATCATCGTCATCATCAGCATCAGCACCAGCATCATCATCATCATCATCATCATCATCATCATCATCATCATCATCATCATCATCATCATCATCATCATCATCATCATCATCATCATCATCATTACCATCCTAATCATCCTACCCCTCCTCCACATCCTGCTGTTCCTGTTCCTCGCTGTTCCTCCTCCACCTCCTGCGCCTCCTGCTCATCGCTTTTGCTCCTCCTCCTCCTCCTCCTCCTCCGCCTCCTCCTCCTCCACTGTCTGCTCCTCCTGCTCCTCGCTCTTGCTTCTTCTCATCCTTCTCTTCTTCCTCCTCCTCCTCCTCCTTCTCCTCCTCCCTCTCATCCTCCTCCTCCTCCGCCTGCTCCTCCTCCTCCTCCTCCTCCTCCGCTCCTCCTCCTCCTCCTCTCCTCCTCCTCCTCCTCCTCCTCCTCCTCCTCCTCCTCCTCCTCCTCCTCCTCCTCCTCCTCCTCCTCCTCCTCCTCCTCCTCCTCCTCCGCCTACCCATCCGCATCCTCCTGCCTCTCCACAGCTCTTTCTGACGCGCGAGGGGCACTGCGCATGCCCCGGCCGCGGCGTAGCCGTCCTCCTCCCCGGAGTCCTCCTCGCCGAGGAGGATCGCCGCGAGGGACGCGGCCGCGGCAGCGTCCAGCCCTCGGGCGGAGTCCGTGCGGACAAAGTGCTGCCGGAACACGGCCCTCATCATGCTCTCCGAGCCCGCCTTCTCCAGCGGAGCCAGACTGCCGGACGGCGGCAGCTGCCACACGCCGACATAGGCCCTGCCTCCCCCGCCTCCTCCTCCTCCTCCTCCTCCTCTCCTCCTCCTCCTCCCTCCTCCCCTCCTCCTCCTCCTCCTCCTCCTCCTCCTCCTCCTCCTCCTCCTCCTCCTCCTCCTCCTCCTCCTGGCCTGGCCAGGCCCTGAGATCCTCTCGCTGCGAGCGGCGAGCGCTTCTTGCCCCGTCTCGGCCCCGGGGGTGTCCCTCGCTTCGAGCCCCAGGGCCGTCCAACAGAAAAACGGCCCGGGATGGAGAGCCAGCCCCGTGGGAGGGGGGGCCCAGACTTCTGGGGAGCCACGCTGTGGAAACAATGCGACGTCGGATCTCTGGGGAGGACGCCCTCCTGGACCAGGCCAGGGCGGGCGCGTCCACCGATCCGATGGGCCCGGGAGGCCTGGGCGAGACCGGCTCTGGCGGTGCAGCGAGCGCCCTCCGAAGCTCGTCGTCGTCGACGGCCGCCCACGAGGCGACGTTGTGCGCGGCCGCCACAAAGGCGAGGATCTGGTCTACGCGGGCGCCCTCCCCGCCCGCGGTCGTCGTCCACTCGCTGAAGCTCAGCCCGAAGGGGGCCAGGCCCTCCGCCAGGAAGTCTCGCGCGTGCTCGAATCGCCGCCACGAGGAGCTCAGCACGAGCCTCGCGCCGGAGACCTGGACGAGCCACTGCAGCTGCTCCATGCAGCCGCGCTCGAAGCAGTGCGAGCTGTCCATCCTGTTGGGCCAGAAGACAAACGACACCACCCAGCCTACGGCTGCACGGGACTCGCTCGGACGTCCATTTCCCGTGCTTTTTTCGATTTCGCGCGTGTTTTTTTTGCTCGATGGTCCAGGATGGTCCTCGATGGTTCTCGCCGAGAAAAAAATGCACACGTCCGAGCGATGCCAAGACTCGGCGTACACCAGCAGGTCTGGCGTGGGCATCTGCGTGGCATGGTCTACGCTGCGGGCCCCGATCGGCCGTGGAGCCGCGTGGAGGGCCCTCTTGGGTGGGGTGCCGCCGCCGGCTTCTTGGCCGACCTGTGGGAGGAGCTCAGCACGCGCGTCTGCAGCGGGTGCAGCACCCCGTCCACGTCCAGAAACAGGAGCCGCCGCGGGGCCTCCGCCGCCGCCGGCGGCCCGCGCGCCGCCCCGCGGGCGCCGCCGCCGCGCTGCTCGGCCGCGGGCGCGCGGGGGCGCGGCGCGCCCGGGGCGGGCGGCGGGCCCTCGCGGCCGACGCAGTCCAGCCCGATGCCCCGCAGGTGCGCGCGGTCCATGGCTGCCCGCCGAGGGGCGCACGACGGGGCCCAGACCCCCTCGGGCAACGAAAGGTAGGGGCAAACGAACCTAACTCGCTTTTGACCACCCTCGCTTCCAAGAGCTACCAAGCGATGCCAAACTGACGAGAGAGCGTGATCCACCGCAGTTTTGCTGTGGAAAATTGCCGCCCTTTTCCTCCGGAACCCGGGGGTCCCCCCCCCCCTTCCGAAAATCCCCCCCCCTGCTGGAACCCCCCCCCGGCCCCCGCAAAACCCCCCCCCCCCCCCTCCCCTAACCCCCCCTTCTCGAACTCGAAAACCGGGGGGGGTCACTACCGGTTCGAACCCCCCCCCCCCCTCGAAAACCGGAGGGGGGGGTCACTACCGGTTCGAACCCCTCCCCACCCCCCCCTCTCACCTCCAGCAAACGACTCCCGGTCCCTACCACCGTCCTCACCACATCCCCCACTGTTGTTCCCAGCACCACTGTCCTCACCACCACTGTCCCCACTGGTTCCACCACCGCCCCTACTGTCCCCACCAGTGCCACCACCACTGTCGCACTGTCCCCACTGTCCCCACCACTGTTCCCACCACGGTTCCACTCTCCCAACTTTCTCCACGACTATCCCCACTGTCCCCACTGTCCCACTGACTCCTCCGCTGTCCCACTGAGCTGTCCCACTGTTCCCACCACTGTCCCCACTGTCCCCACCACTGTCCCCACTGCACCTCTGTCCCATTGTCCCACCGCCATCCTCGCCAACGCCTTCACCACTGTCCCCACCACCACTGTACCCTGCACTGTCCTACTGTTTCCACCACATTCCCACTGTCCCCACACCACTGTCCCCACGACCACCGTCCCCACCACTGTCCCACTGTCCCCACTGTTCCCACCATTGTCCTCACCTTTTTTCCCTCCACTACCGTCCCCACCTCTGTCCCACTGTCCCCACCACTGTCCCGCTGTCCCCTCACCACTGTCCCCACCACCACCGTCCCCACCACTGTCCGCACCGCCCCTCGGTTTTCGAGGTGGGGGGGGGGTTCGAACCGGTAGTGAGCCCCCCCGGTTTTCGAGTTCGAGGGGGGGGGGGGGTTCGAACCAAGTGACCCCCCCCCTTTTCATGATGAACTGGGAGGGGGGGGGGAGGGGTTCGAACCGGTAGTGAGCCCCCCCGGTTTTCCAGAGGGGGGGGGGAGGGGTTCGAACCGGTAGTGACCCCCCCCGGTTTTCCGCCAGCAGCGGTAGAACACGCTCTTTCCAAACTACGGCACGCACTGGTCAGGCCACTCGACGGGGAGGCGCGTGGTATGACTTGGTTTTGCCTGGAAGCGAAAGCGGGGTAGGTAATTCACGCTCTGATTTCCTGATTTTCTTCCTCTGGAGGCCCGTACGGGAGCCTCAAAAAGCGGCCCAGGATGGAGCACCGGTCCAGGGGAACGGGTCGAGACCTCTGAGGGTCGGCGTCAGGAAAAAATCGTGACATCGGGGGTCTGGGGGGGGGGGGAACCAAAAGGTACCGACACCCCAATATTCCACAGATGCCCCCCAATGCTTCGCACGGGCTGCAGAAGAACGAGCGCCGCTGGATATCCTGGAGCTCCTGCAGCGCATCCTGAGCCAGTCGTGCCATGACAGCGTTCTTGTCCTGGGGAGGGCGAATCCACCAGCCCTCGAGGATATCAAACGGTGCCGACACTGCCATGTACTCCCCAGGACCTCTCCCCGGGGCGCGCTCTGGCCAAGTCTCCGGCCACCGCCCAAGCGGCAGGGCGGGGCGACGAAGCGCCCGCGGGCGCGCAGCGCGCCGGGGCCCGCACGGGGCGCCACCGCGGGGGCGCCCCAAGAGGCCCCCGTCTTGCGCGCGCCTGGGGCCAGCAGCCGCTCGACTGTCCCGACCGACTCCCGCCCGAGGCGTGCCCGGGGGCGCGGACGAGGCGTCCCTGCCCGCTTGGCGTCGGAGCCCGTGCGGCCGCCGGGTGCGCCTACACCATATGTGCACCGGGAAAACAAGCCAAGCAGCAGCAAGATCCCCGGGCGACCCCCCCAAACAACCCAGACGACCCCTGCGGAGGGATGGCGACAAGACGGCCTACCCCTGGCAGTCCCGTGGACAACCCAGCGGGGTTCCCCACAACCCCACTGGAGCAGCTCCCCTTGGGCAAGCCTCCCATGGATTTTCTTCCACTAGATATGACAGGATCGGGCCAAATCTTCTCTCGAACGAGCCAGGTCGACGCTCGGCCTGCCCATCCGGCGGCCGAGTGTACTCAGACGCCAGACGGGCTCACAATGGAGCTCCAGGGTCTGGTTTTCATTTGGGGGGTGGAACCCGTCGAGGCACGCAGTCGTCAACCCGACCAAGTGTTGCGCCTATCGTGTAAGTCTCTAGGCGAAGAGATGCAACCAATTACACAGGCAGACATGAGGTGAGATACCTGCTACTTGCATTATGTCAAAGACTGCGCCTCGCTGTGCGGCCAAGGCGCACGCATGAACACCCTCGCAACTTCTGACCCCCTCCCTGGGACCTGACCGCAGGGGCCCCGATGGCCAATCTAGCCCCAGATCGCTGCTCCGAGCGGCGACCTTGCATCCAGAAGCGGACAGCGCATGGAACTGGCTGTGCAATTGTGCCAACACAGGCGGGACGCGGCACCTGCAGCTTGCATTCCGTGAAACCTCCCATGGGCCGCTTGCACAATCTCACTGGTAGGAAAGATTTACAGATGTCAATGTCCAGAGCTCTGGCTGCCCAAGATAAGCCGCGAATCCCATCCACAGGATTGTGTTGCTAAGTAGTGTCCCAGCCAGCCAGACCCATTCGTGGCCCCACGAGGTCAGAACGGCACAACCACGATTCACTCAGAGAAAAATATCCGAGCAACTTTTGTCATGCCATGAATGTTAGTGAACTCTGGGAAAACTGATCGATTGTAGTGAGCATGCGAGGCCAAAGTGGATCAGTACTCAATAAACGGTGCCGTGGACGATACCACCCACGATCCCAGACATCATCACAACCTTCACCATCGCAATACCTGCAAAGACGTTTGCCATCGTGCTCGAAACGTTCCCTGCGACGTTCGCGGCACTCATCTTCATCCCTCTTCTGAGCAGCGCCCTCTCCGGCACTGAAAATGCGCTGCATCCGACCATCGTGCTGTATCGGGATCCCGTGTCATAGGATGCCTTCGCCAAGTGCCTGGTCATGCAACTTCTGGAACGCTGTACTGTCCACCTCGAGGGATTCAAACCTAAACACGCTCTTCGCTACGCACGCCTCAATAAGTGGGGCGAGGGGGTCCGTCATCTCCGCGCCCTCTGCTCGAAAAACGGAACCTTTTCTTCTCAAGTACGAACTCCAGGCCAGAGCCTCCACCACATGGAGGACAGTCACCTTTTCCACCCAACTTGAATGGATATGCAAGTCTCCTGCCTGGAGGACAACGAACATTGCCCAATCTGAACCAAGGCTTGCATTGCAAGCCATTGGTTGACCCATGGCAAAACTGAGAGGGACTGGACATGACCGACGCTGGAACTGACCCCCAAACATTTCAGAATCATTATACGATCAGTGGCCCTCGTGGCCTTCTCCTGCAGCCGCAGGCTCAAGGAAAGATGTCTGGCACCCGCGACACATGCGATGTAGTGAGGGATGGACTTACCATGGTACGGCTAAAGATCTTCAGCAATATCTTCTGTTGCGCAGATCACTGCTTCATCGAGCTCTGCTTCAGTCCTGCCTGCCGCGCTGTACACTATTGAAGTGTTTGCACGGACGTGAAGATCAGAGGGCGAGCGACCTCAACCTACCGAAAATGAGGTGCATACAAGCCGAAGTGACTGAACTGCCGCTGCTTGAGCCCGACTGAGCGACCGAAGCTCTTTTGCGGACGAGGGGGGGGGGGCGGGCATGCTCGCTCTGGGTGGGCAGTGCAGACGGGGTGACCCACTGCACCCACCGCCCCAGGGAGGCCGTCTGGGGGGGGGCCTTGCCGCCAGGCGTGGGCTGTCCGAGTGGGCGTGCAGGCACCGTGGAAGCACATGGGAACCTCTGGAGGACTCCGACGAGGTCTCTGGGAGGCTCCGGGGAAGGCGGGAGGGAGGCAGCGAGAAGGCAAGGAGGGAAGGGGGGAAGCTTTATCAAGCAGGCATGGGTCCTCACGCACATCCCGAGGGTGCTGAGAAGCCCCCAAGAGGTCCCAGAGTTGATGCTGGCGATCAGGATGGCATGCTCCTCGAGCCAACCCGACAAAGCGCGGCGGGGCCGACGCTTCGGCGCTCCCACACACCAGCGCCAACACCACGCCCGTCCACGCCCGATGGATGCCTCTGCGACGTCGGTGCGATCATCGGCCTCGGAGGGCATGTCTCGGCACCTCCAGCGTGCGTACCCGATACGCCGTATCTGCGCCCAGCTCGACGATGCCTCGCACATCCTCCCCCTGCAGCTCGAGGAAATGAGACTTACAACGATAGACCTGACGCCAACGAACAACGATCGCGATGATCCGAAAGATGGTGTTGGGGCAACAAGAATCGATCCGTGATCTTAGTAAGTCATGGGTGCGTTCTCTCGCATCGACTCGACGGGAGAGTACCGTTCGACACGGCCACGAAGGTAATTAACTTGCACACGAAATGCTCCAAGAGGGCCGCGGGACACTCGGCTGAGGAACCACTGACTGCCAGGTCCAAAGAGCAAAACACACACGCTGTGGACCCGCGGGGGGGGCCGATGCCTCTGATCTTCGGTCCGACCCTGTCGGCGTCGTGACTGAATGTGCCAGCCGGTGCCTCTGCCCGGACTCTGGCCAGGGAGGCACAGGTCCCCACAGTCGCCAGGCTCCTTGGCCCTGGCGCCCCCAGAACCCGCGCCCACGAGCCCAGGGATCTGGCTCCTGGCGAGGGCCTGGGTCACGCCGACGCATGCCTCTGTGACACGGTGCGTCATCCAGGGCGTCCGCGCGCCGGACCTCGGAGGGGAGCTCGGAGGCCAAGACGGAGGGCGGAACGCTCAGCCTGGAATTCCGCCGGCCCGTGCGCCCAAGAGCGCAGCTCCAAACAGCAGCTGTTGACGGCGACGCGACGGAGCAGACGACCCCGTTTGTGCCCTCAGCGTGCGGCCCAAGCCTCCGACGTCGAGCACCCTACCGAGCCTGAGGGCGTCTCGTCCAGCGGGCCCGCGCCTACTGCGCTCCACGGCGGCCTGAGAGCACGAAGCAGCCCGCACAGTCCGACGCAGTCCGACCAGCCACACTCAGGGAAGCTGTGCTCCCTACAGGGCAGTTTTTAATACATAGGAGTTTAAAACATAACATATTTTAAAAAAAACATGATTAATTTACGAATGAATTGATGCATGAACTCATCGTTGTTTTTAGTACCAAATCCCCGCATTTTTTATACATGATCCGCACGCGGAGCATGTATTAAAAACGGCACTGCACCCTGGAAGAAGAAAGAACGGCCTAAGGGAAGCTGTCCTCCCTACCCTGGGCGCGGAGCGCGCCAGGGGCGGCGCTGGAGGCGCCGCTGGAGGCGCCGCCGGAGGCGCCGCCGGGGGGCCCAGCGCGGATCCGAGAAATCCGCGCGGAGCGCCAAGCTCATGTTTATGCCGTTTTTTCTTCTTCGGTCCCTGTACCGCCCCCGCCCACCTTGAGGAACCCGTCGCATCGACGACCTCCCGAGAGAGCTGTCGGAAAAGATGGGCCCCTCGGGGGAGAGCCAGGACCACAGCTCCCCCGGCTGCGGCTGGTCTGGCATGTGGCACCGCTGCGCAACCGACCAGCTACCACACTCACGGCGCACCGCCCCTGCCAGAGTGTCAGCCGGAGCGCCGCCGGGGCGAGTGCCACCGCAGAGTCGCGGCCGCGAGCGACCCACCCTTCCTCCCCCCTTCCCCTCCTCCTCCTCCTCCTCCTCCTCCTCCTCCTCCTCCTCCTCCTCCTCCTCCTCCTCCTCCTCCTCCTCCTCCTCCTCCTCCTCGGATGCTGCTGGAGGTGTCCCTGGCCCAAGGTGTCCCCAGGATCTCCAGGGAGGCCCCCACGGGCCTCCAGAGCACCCCTCACGGAGCGCAGGGGGCCCCAGGGGGCGCCAAGAGGGAGCGAGAAGCCGGGGGCACCTTGGGCCAGGACCACGTCTAGCAACACCCCGATGCCCCGCTGCCCTCTCCACCGCCCAAGAGATAAACAGATGCTCGTCGCCGAGCCCCCGGCTGAGTGCAGGCCGCTCTGGCCTCCACTCGTCAGAAAAAACAACTACACCGCGCAGCGGCACGGCACCCTGCCCGATTGCCGCTGCAATCCCACGCGGCAGGCGCCAGACGTGCCCCAGCAGGCCAGGCGAGCTCAGGACAGAGAGGAGAGACCAGGAGGGAGAAGCTGCGGTTGGGAGCACAGCACCTCAACCACACAGGGAAAGCCTGCCCGCTCAGGCCGACGGGACCATGAACTTGACCTTCGTCTTCTCGGGGTTCCTGCAGAGGACGTTGATGCTCTCCCAGTTGTCGATCGCCTCCGAGACCATCTCTTGGTCCAGAGCCTTGTGCCCCGCCATGCTGACGACGTGCGCAATGTCCACCCAGCCGTCGTCACCGTCGGCGCGCCTGGAGAGGTCTGCAACGATGTCGTACACGAGGTCGACAGGGTTGACGCCGCGCTTGGCCGGCGCGCTCAGCTCGACGCTCTCCTTCGAGGCCTTCATCAGCCGCATCGCCTCGTCGAAGTCCTGCCTCTCCACCTTGTTCGAGAAGCGCACCCTTGCGTGCGCCTGCGACAGCCGCAGGATGGCCAGCAGCGTGCGCGGCGTGGTGTAGGACTTACGGCTGTCGATGTCGGAGCGCTTCTCATCCTCCCGCATCTGGACGTAGGCGTCCTGGATGTCACGCATCAGCTCGTCAGTGACCAGCGGCTCAAAGGACTTGGCCCTGCGAACGAACGCCCTCATGAACGTGGCGTCGAAGGGCTTGAAGCCCAGGTTCAGCACGTCGGCGTCGTCGTCGCCAGGCCCGCCAGGGGCGCCGACCTTCTCCTCGGCGTCCGCCTTCTGCATTTCGTAACAGCTGTGGACCTTCGTCACGTGCATCGACAGCATCTTGTCCTTGTCTGGGTCCACCGTGTCCAGCAGCAGGAAGAGTAGGTCGAAGCGGGACAGCAGGGCCGCGGGGAGGTCGATGTTCTCCACAGGTGACTTGAAAGGGTTGTAGCGGCCGTACACTGGATTGGCGGCGGCGATGATGGTCGTCCTCGTGTTGAGCGTGGTGGTGATGCCCGCCTTGGCCACGGACACGGACTGCTGCTCCATCACCTCGTGGATGGCCGTGCGGTCGCCCTCCTCCATCTTGTCGAACTCGTCGATGCAGCAGACGCCCATATCTGCGAGCACCAGCGCCCCGCCCTCGAGGGTCACCTCGCCAGTCTGCTGGTCGCGGATGACGGCGGCGGTCAGGCCGACGCCGCTGGATCCCTTTCCGGTGGTGTACACCGAGCGCGGGGCTATGTTGACGACCTGCTTGAGCAGCTGGCTCTTGGCCACCCCAGGGTCGCCCATGAAGAGCGTGTGGATGTCTCCCCGGATCTTCATCCCGTCCTTCATGGTCTTCGTGAAGGAACCCACGAGGGAGAGGAGCAGGGCCTTCTTCATGTCCAGCATCCCGTAGATCTCGGGCCCGATGGACTTGGCGCTCTCCTCGTACATGTTGCCCCGCTTCTGGGCCTCGTCGATCTGCCCGAAGAGGTCCGTCATGTCCGCATTGTCGTCGTTGTAGCCGTGCTTGTGCTTCCTGATGTGGTGGGCGTCCAGGTACATCGACTGCGTGGTCCTGGGGGAACCAGAAGCTGCACAAAAATAACCTTGCTGAGCTACGCGCGGATTTCTTCGATCGGCGCTGGACCCCCCTGGCAGCGCCTCTGGCGCCGCCCAGGGCGCGCTCCGCGCGCCAGGAAGGGGGGTCTAGCGCCGATCGAAGAAATCCGCGCGGAGCTCAGCAAATATGTTTATGCCGTTTCTTGTTCCTCGAAGTCCTTCCCTGCTTGCGGGCGACGTAGAATGGCAACACGCTGGGCTGGTATACGCCGGTGACCGTGATCGCGTCTCCGGGTAGCACCGTCCTGGTGAGGTCGCCGGTCAGGATCACGTCGAGGGACCTTGGCACCCGGCCGACAGGGACGTGCTCGGACATCTCCTGAACCTTCATTTCCTGGTGCTTGCCGAACTGGCAGGTCCGGACGTTGCAGCGGAGCTTGCCGGTCTGGCGGTTCTGCTTGCACCTCTCCGAGGGGCACTCGGTCGGCGGCGTGTAGCGGTCCGATTCCACGGTCTGGAAGATCTCGGCGTCGCAGACCTCGCAGTGGTAGGTGGCCACCTCCACTTTCGGCTTCACCGACCCCACGCGCACCACCAGGCAGTCCAGCTGCACCAGCGCTCCCACGCTCTCCGCGGTCAGCTCGTTGATCTTCAGGGACTTGTTGGTCGAGCGCGGCACGAAGCGCACGTCGAAGGCGTTCTTCAGCCTCAGCGGCATGGGCGGCGGGCCTGCTGCGGCGCCCTCCCGCCGCTGCTGGGCCATCTTGCTCTCGCGCCACCTCTTGATCGCGTCCTTGGCCTCGCAGTCCGCGTTGAAGTCCGCGTCGCGCTCCGGCATCTCCGCGTCCGCCGCCTCGTAGAAGAACCTCATATACCGCAGCGTGTTCTTCTCGATGCTCTGGAGCAGGTTCTCGAGGGACTGCTGTCGGTCCGGGTCCGCTCCGGTATTGGCGAGCTCCTGCCGGCAAAACTCCTCCACCTGGGGCGGGGGAAATGGGATCCGGCCCCAGTGGGGAAACCAAAAGGCACCGGTACCGCTACCCCCCTGGACCTCTCATGGGGTGCGTTCTGACCAGAATGTCGAAACGAATCCCGCCCTGGCGACGAGGGCCTCCCAGGAGGTCCAAGGAGGGAAAGACGAGGGAAGAGTAGCGGTATGGGTACCTTCTCCTCCTGTGGCCCAGGGCCTTAGGCCCACGGGCCAGCTTCTCCCGGGCCGTGCGTCTGGCGGTCCCGGGGCCCCGTCGAGGGGCCCAGCGGCGAAGGCAAGCTCCAGGGCCGCTCTCCTCCACAACCCCCCCAGTCTCCATGGCCATCCACGTCGTCCAGCTCCACGAACACGGTCTCCTGTCGGTGGTTCGCCGCCTTCTGCATGATCGCCTTGTACTTGGCCAGGCCGTACCTCGTGTCCGCCGGGCCGCTCTGCGACGTGAAGGCCCGGAAGAAGAGCCTGCAGAGCTCCTTGTCCTCGGGGTAGCGCTTCACCGCCTCCTGTGGGGGGGGCCAAATACTACCCTGGGCCGCCCAGCTTCGCGCGTCGCGCCCCGCGATGCGCGACGCGCGGCCATCCTAGCGCCCTCGCGCAGATCCCTGGAGAAGGCCAGCTCGGCGGCCGCGACCGCGACGCCCGAAGCGTGCTTATTTCCGTGCCTGCGGGTGTGACCCAGGATATGTTTTTTGCTTGTGTTGTTGGTCGGTCCAGCGGGTACGAGGAGGACGAGGAGGAGGAGGAGGTGGAGGAGAAGGAGCAGGCGGGCGGAGGAGGGCAACGGCATCGGCATCCTGGGGTGACCCAGGATCCCGATGCCGCTGCTCGTTGGACCGAAAAAACCCGAGATGCAGGCGCCGCAGTTCCTTCGCACCAGGCATTTCCGCTCGGTACCTCCAGACCAGAGGAGGAGGAGGAGGAGGAGGAGGAGGAGAAGGAGGAGGAGGAGGAG